TTCAGTTCAATCATTTTTAATAATTATGTATAATAGTAAAAGCTGTTCAAAGATGAAAGGTTTCCCAGAGTCTGCAGAGGCAGAGTACTAGAATAGCTAAGCCTCATTCATTATGGTATAATGTGAGATAATAACACTATAAAGGGGCAATCTGAGAAGTCAGTGAGATGATATAAACAAAATGTTCAGCACATTGCTGGGCACATGGTAAGTGGTGATAGCACACAGGGATGTTACCCTTCTTATTGTGGTGATAGCACACAGGGGATGTTACCCTTCTTATTGTTGACATGATGTCCGAATGCATCACTGGGTAGAGTTAGAGAAGAGACACTAAATGGATGTGTCCATTAAACTAAATGACTGTTACTTCAAAATCCTAACTGGATATAACTAACTAATTAACGTTAGCTTTTTAAAACTGACTCCGAAACCAGTCAACCTTTTATGTGACCTTGAATAATTTTTGTTTGTTTTTAATTCTCTCTGTTTTAGTATCATTATCTTTAAAATGGAGACATAGCAAACCTGCCTTGCATTGCTGTAAAGATAAAAAGAATGAATGCACATAAAATTTTAGGACAATGCCTGACATACTAATTTTTTTAATACATGTTAACCACTTTTACAATGCTGACAAGGGATTATTGGATTATAGGACTTGAGATATATGTGTTGAAATATACTAGACATTTAGGTAAATTTCTATAAGGAAATAGCTTGAATAAATCATAGAGATGGGATTAAATATTATGTGATCATCAGACAGTGAGGAGATCTTACCAATTAGACTGGAGCTTGGTTGTTGGTGAAGGTTAGAAATAAAGTTGGGTGAGTTGAGTGAGGAAAAAACTCAGATAATCTTCAGTTTAGGATGATAAGCAGTTAGATGGGATGTGTGGGGATTCCACGTGTTCTTAGGTGGAGAAATACAACATACACGTGATATTTTAAAATAACCTTATAGAGTTTTCAGGATACATTGCCTTTCTTATGATTTAAACTTATAGATGGGATAGTGCAATCTTTTATGCAAATCCTCCTTTCACTTAGAAATAGAAATTTCTATTTCAGGACAATTTCTATTTCAGAAAGTCTAAGACTTTTCTCCTCCATAAAGTTTTCTCTTCTGATTCATATCACAGTGGTTTTCTTTTTTGTTTGAATTTCTTAACATTCAAAATGATGTTCTTCATATTGGTATTGTCCACCATCATCTTTTGAGAGTGATTTTGAAATTAAGGTGTTTTGCCAAATCACTTCATGTTAATCTATTAAAAAGGCATTATTTAGAATGTATAAAATGGTTTTGCTTTAAAATGAGACCCATAAAATTAATGAAACTGGTATTCTTGGGAAACTTGTAAGTTGGTTTTGGGAAGACAAGTCCCACAGAGAAGGTCCAAAAACATATTATATATATTAACAAATTAAGATATATTAATAACTTCTCAAAGCAACTCCTTGAAAAAGACAACGATTCATTTACTGCATAAAGAATCAGTATTTAAATTAAAAACAACCATCATCTTTTATAATGATCCAAATACTATCTAGTATTTTAAAATTATTCTGTCGTTATCATACATACAAGCTCCTTGAGAGAAAAGATAATGACTTACTTTTCTTGGTGTAACTCATAGGGCCATGATGGATACTGGGTTGATGCTTTATGAATTCAGTTTAAATGAGAAGGATATAGGTAACAGGAAAACCATTTGTACAGTAAGAAAGTCAGCACGGGCATTCTGCCTGTTTATTTCCCAGCCTGAGTCAGCAGTTTCTTTTGGTTGTTAGTGGCCAGAGGAGTAGAATAGCAACAAAGATCTCGCATGTCAATGGAACAGGTGATTGTGGAAAATTAGTCTAGTGCACTTTATTATATTTTCCCCTTGGTAGATGCTCAGCCATTGTGTGATTTTTCTGGACGTTTGAATTATGCTCCCTAGTAATCAGACATGAGAATGGGAGGATAGTGTCAGGAATTCTACTTTTCAAAAAAATCTAGTACACTCTTAGTACACTCTTACAGTCACAGGGATGAGTACAACCTACCACAGGGACACAAATGTAATCAAGGAAGTGCTTAAAATAAAATTTGAAAGTCCAAGAGAATGAAAATTAGACAGTGACCTGCTTGTCTATCTCTTCTTTCCAAAGTGTTTTTGAATCTCTTATGAAGGGGACTTAAAAGCTTTTCTACAACTGCTACTGGTTTTGCCAGTTCATTCATTCAAGGCACACCAATAAACATGCACAAGCTACTCCAGTCCTCCCAGGGCCAGGGAATGAGATAGGTGGGAAGTTTACTTTAGCAGGCTTTCTTTTCACAAATCAGAAATTTCATTGTATGTATTCCCCTAAATAACTGGCAAGGGGATCATCAGAATGAGCTATTGCAAACAGCCACCTTAGTCTTCACAGTTCCAGTGTGATGGGGCCCCAGATCAGAATTGTAAAATAGTTTAAAGAATCTTGGAACATAAAGCATGGTGCAGAAAACCAAAGAAGATTTAATCTTATTTATAGAAAGGTGGTGGGTAGAAGAGGGGACAACGGAAGAGAGTGGCTTGGGATCATCATTAATCATTTTTTAAGTACCAACAAAGTGAAAATATCCTTCTGGAATTCATTGCAAGTGACACTGAATTCTTCTACTAAGCAAATATGTGATGAGTTGATAAAAA